GTGCTCCTAACTCCAAAACAACATGGCTGCCGTTGCCATTTGTATTTTGGCGTAACACTTTAATTTTGTCAGTGTTTGGGGAAGTTGTGCTGTTAACTGAGTGTAAGCACATATGGTTTATTATATTTATCCAAAGCTGTGAAGGTGTTTAGTATGTGTTTCCTACTCAGTTGTTGTCAGTTGACGTATGTTTTCTCCTGCTTCTTGCAGCGGAAGTCCTGATAGTGAGGTTTGGCACACAGGATACCAAGGAGATCTGACTAGGTCATGGCCAATCGAGGAGGAGCTACAAGACCCAATGGACCCAATGCAGGGAACAAGATCTGTCAGTTTAAGCTGGTGCTGTTGGGGGAGTCAGCTGTTGGGAAGTCCAGCTTAGTGCTCCGCTTCGTCAAGGGCCAGTTCCATGAATTCCAGGAAAGCACAATAGGAGGTGAGCGTCACATCATCAGACGAGGCTTTTTCTGACAAGCTGCCAGCTTTTTGTAGATCACACAGCTTTTGTGTTGTGACTGTAGGAGCATGTGTGTGTCTGAAGCAACTAAGTTTTATTTTCATTTAAATAATTCTTTGAGTTTTAGAAAATTCTGCAGGTTGATGCCCTACTTTGCTGTATTTGTGACCTGTTTTGTTTACAAGACACTGTAAAGAGTGTGATTTTGTGTTGATATTGGTCGTGTAAAGCTGACACGCCCTCTCACCTCTTCCTGTCCCTTCAGCGGCCTTTCTCACCCAGACAGTGTGTCTAGATGACACAACAGTGAAGTTTGAAATCTGGGACACTGCAGGTCAGGAGCGTTACCACAGTTTGGCGCCAATGTATTACAGAGGAGCACAAGCCGCCATTGTGGTCTACGACATCACAAACGAGGCATGTTCATCGGTCACTGACTAAGTCTTCAGTGCTGTTATTCAAACAATCTTCTGACTTTAAGTTGTACTGATGTTACTGGCACATATTCAGAGAGTACTCCAAGTGCTTGTACGACAAGTCTAAGCATGAAGCATGAAATGGCATGAGGGTGTTGACATGTGGCACAATTTCTTCTTTTTGCAGGAGTCCTTTGCACGAGCAAAGAACTGGGTGAAGGAGCTCCAAAGACAAGCTAGCCCTAATATAGTCATCGCTCTCTCAGGCAACAAAGCCGACCTGGCCAGCAAGAGAGCTGTCGACTTCCAGGTCAGACCACACAAACTGCACAGTGCTTATCAGTTGTTGGGGTTTTTTTTTTACATTTCCTGGGGACACTTGTCTCTGATTTCTACCAGATATCTGTGGTTCTGTTTAAAGTGATTACATCTAGAACAGACATGACAAATTACTAATCATCTCTACAGCTATGACTCTGATTCCTGTTGTAACCGTTCAGCTGTCTTTCTCCTGTGCCTGAACGCATGCATGTGTTAGGATGTGCTGAAAGTTTATGATGTTTGCGTTGTGTTAACAGGACGCCCAGTCCTACGCAGACGACAACAGCTTACTCTTCATGGAGACATCAGCCAAGACATCGATGAATGTGAACGAGATATTTATGGCTATTGGTGGGTAACGCTTAACACTTAACTCATAAATGTTGCCTGCACATGTGTGGAGTGTTAACCAGAGTTAAACACAGTAATCCTGCTGGTATTTGTATAAAGTATTTAATCCGATTAACTGGATGGTTTTGGTCAATCTTGGGCTACAGTAGTTTTTTCATTTGTAGCTTCTGCTCCCTGAAAAGGGAAGAGTTTCTTGTATTCTTGTTTAGTTTGGTTTGTTTTTTCCTTTCAGCAAAGAGATTGCCAAAAAGTGAGCCTCAGGCTGCAGGAGCCAGCAGTGGGAGGAACCGAGGAGTGGACCTGACGGAAGCTGCCCAGCCAGCCAAGGCTCCGTGCTGCAGTAACTAACATGAAGAACATCATCTCCCCAACCAACCTGTATAGCAGTAACTAATGCGGCCAATGCCCAAAATGCCACTGCAGTTACTAATGCAATGTGTCTCTGAAATAAGAAAAGATGCCCTGTGCCCCCTCCATAAACCCCAGCCTCTCTTTTTGCAGTAGCAAAGTCAATGCCATTACACTCAACTTTCTTTGTGGCGCTGCCTCTTTTCCTCCATTATGGTTCTGCTGCTACCTGGTGAAGCCTCCTAACCACTCTGTCTTACTTTCTGCCATCTAGCTTGTTACATCTATCAATGATGATTGATAGGTCAGTGATAGCAGATATTCTAGACGTTAGTGCGCCCTGCCTACCATTATCTCCCCCACCCCCGACGTGTAGATACGAGTACCAGTTAGAGGAAGTGATCACTTCCCATTTCTGGGATAGCTTAAGACTTTACTACTGCATTTCTAATACCAGTTTTCTGTTTTTGTTCATTTTTTGATAACTTTGTTAATTATTGTTTACTATGATTTTGTCAAAATTATGGATGCACATACCTGTATATTTACATGGTCTAAAATAGAAAAACAAAAAGCCGTTTTACCTTTTGTCTCCAGTAGCACAGAAAAAAAATATCTAGTAGAGAAGAGGAGTGTTTTCTTGTGAATCTGAGAAAGAGGAAAGGCAGAGGGTGGAGGGAGAAGAAGAGAGGAACCCTAAGCTCTACATCTTCCGCTTGACACTGGGACCCTTTTATCGTTAAAAAAAAAAAACAAAACTGGACTGCAGTCCTTTTAAAATCTCTCTCTCTGATCCCCTCTGCCTTCCCTTTGCTATCCATGTCCTTTCTCCCAATTAAACCCAAAGTAGCACTAGTGTACATTCTCTTACACCACCTGTAGGCTCCACTCCGGGGCCATGCCTGCTTGTAGCTGTCCCTAGTGGCATTGTGCAATGTTTCACAGTATTTACTCTGTGAGTTGACTGTCTGCAAGGACCAATGCAGCGCAGCAAACCCCCCCCCGCGCTCCTCCCAGTTTTCTCAACAACAAGGCCACAGAGACCTCTGAGGTACACATCAGTGTCACCGCCTGCCCATTTCCTGATGTGTAGTGTCCTTTCACCAATCTTGCGTAGGCCCTTCATTTATGGTCATACTGGGATCTGTTGGGTTTCTGCCTTTTGGATTTTTGAGTTTATGCGATTATCTTTTCCATTTTGTCAATGTTGCTGGACCGCTGCTGGGTTTGCAATGGGTAAAAAGCAAAGGTGATGGTGGTGAGTGGGGAGTTGCAATATGTAAGGTTGAGTCATAATTCTATTGGAATCCTAGGTGTTTGACATCTCCTCTTGATTAGGAAGTGCTTTAGACACAGCTGTGTGTCCGTATGTACAAACTGGGCCTGGGCTGGTTGGCTGGTGACAGATTTCATCCACAGACTTACTCACATGCACATTTATGTGTGTGTATGTTTAAATACACTTTTGCACAAAAACACACACACACACACACACACGCCATCGACTTCCTCCCTCCAACCCCTATCAGACCTAAACATCATTGTACATCAGCACACACAGACGGTCTGTTACACCTCATCCTCACTTGTTTTTTTTTTTTTTTCTGTCCCTGCGACTCCCCCAGTGCACATTGTTACACACACACACACACACACACACACACACACACATATACATAGAAAACTTTTAGTCAGTAACTCTTTTTACAGGTCTGTCTTACTCATGCCTTGCACTAATGATGCTCATGAATATATCTTGTCATAATTTCAGCCAGTGTGATATAAATATATATATATAAATACAAATATAAATATATAAATAATATACTGTAAATAGGGTGTTGCAGTGTAGTCTACCTTTTTTCGATTTACCAGTGACAGGACTAATGCTTGCTAGGGAGTTGTCCAGATAATCATTAAAAAAAAACAACAAAAAAAAACTGTACAGTTAGCAGGAAAAAAAACCAGCTACAATCTGGGTTTGGAGTTTTGTTGCTGTTCCTTTTTTTTTTTCACACAAATGGTTAAATTATAATCAGTGGTGGTCTTTATAAATGTATGTAGTGTTATTAACAAAAAAGAAAAAAGAAATTGCATTTATTTAGTCGTCTGTCTTGTACCTTTTTTCCCGAAAGAAGAAAAAAAATTATATCCAGACATTTTGGTTTATATTTTTTAACATTATCTCTTTCTTGCATCATTTCTCCAAATCTTTTTTTTTTTGGTTTGTTTGTTTTCTAGTACTCCTCCCTGTAAGTAGACCAGAACTTCCAGAGACACCAGAGGAGTCAGACACAATACAGAACAGTTTGCGTGTCCATCTGTCTGCCACTCCATAACATCTCAGTAACGTTGTGACGATATCGTAGGAGCAGTATAACGGCTATCGGCTGGCACGGCGGTGACTCGTGAATAAATGAATTAACACATGATAGGGATGTAAATTGGATGGGTTCTTTTTTTTTTTTTTTCTTTTGCTGTGAACACTTAATTGCAGCCGAAAACATTTAAATGCAAGCATTTTACAGTACTGTTATGTAATGACCAAATAAATACTGAAATAAATTTGATCATTTATTATTGTAATCTGTGTATGTGTGTGTGTGCATGGACATGTCAAAGACTCTCCAAAGAAAGTAATTATTCTTTATCTTAATGTTTTTTGTCCTGTAGAGGTTTTCAGCCTCAGTTTCACACCAACTTGATAAAAGGCTGCTTGATAAAAGCTTTTTATCTTCATCCTCTCTGACCTTTAACTTAATGTTAAATGTTGAATTCCTGAGAGTAAAGTGGTTCTATTAAGAAAAAAAGCTATTTTCATATGTTTAATGGTTGTCTAAAAGATAGCATTAACTGTAGAATCCATAAAATCATACTGATGTTGATTTCAGTCCCTCCTTTATGTTGCATGAGATGAGTGACTTCCTCCAGACACTGTGCGCTCAAACATGGCTCCTCGGAGCATTTTTCCCTCCTCACATTTGACCTTGAAATTTTGCTAGAAACGGTTGCATTTTGTGACCTCTCCTCTCTGAATTGTAGTGGAGTTGGCCTATCCCATCTCAGTCCCCTAGCGGAGGAAAATGGGCCTACAGTGAGAAATTGAAAATAAGGATGAGCGCCATGTCTGATCCTCCGCTTGTGGAATAGGAGCGGACGGCAGAGCGAATATTTCCGCGGGGCCCCGGCGGTCCCTTCGGGTTTCGGTGCGAATCATGGCCGACAGCGCTGGGATTCAGCAAGGTTCGCCGGCCATCGGAGCTGCGGGCCTGGTCCCGGCCGCTCCTGGAGCCGGGGGGACGGAGGGCTCCGGCGCCGCTGGAGGATCCGCACGTATCGCCGTGAAGAAGGCGCAACTCCGCTCCTCACCTCGGCCGAAGAAACTGGAAAAACTCGGAGTGTATTCATCCTGCAAAGTACGCTACATCTGCAGACTTTTGACGCGCGGCCGTTTTGAGGGCTTATTTTTTAATTAAGGCTATTTCCTGAGCTCGGTTGCAATAGTTTGCAAAATGCAAGCGCAGCAAAGGAAGCCATTGCCGCACTTGAATTTTTTCATTTTGCATGCACGAAACAGTTTAGTCAAGAGGCGATAGTGAAAAATGTAGATAATTGATTTGTACAGCAGGACTGTGGAGCAGCGGCCTTCCAGCTGCAGGCTGCCCAGTGCTTTTACAGTGTTACTATGTTTCTGTCAAGGTGGGGGGTTGGTGAACGTAAACATTGGCTGGCTGCTGGGAGTAGCTGTGCGCTCGGGGCTGCTGTGTGTCGGTGCGCCGCGGCGTTGCTTTCCGCAGGAAATTTCACAGTGTCCCCCTGCCGTCTGTCAGAGCCCGGCGGTAAACAGAGAGGAGTTTATTGGGCTTATGCAGCGTATGATCCGCAGCGAGGGACGGGGTCTTTGTTTTGACAGGGTGACAGCTGCTGGGGGGGCGGAGTTTGTTGTTGTTTCAGCGCGCATGCTCAGTGCGGCCCCTCCAGCTGACGGTGACAGGCCTGCTCTCCACACCTCCTGTCACCGCGCTGACAGTCCTCAGAAACAGTCATTAACCTGAGGGCTGGTGAGGTTTTAATACTGGGGTAAGACGCCCCCTTCACAACAACAGCAGCTTTCTTTTAAAATATGTACATATATTGAATATCAACATAATGTGTGCACAGGAGATGTGCTGAAGTGAACAAATGTAGGTTAGACTACAGCAGAATGGACCAGAACATAAAATCCACAGAACCAGGGAAATCCTACATCACAAGTAATCATAATAATGAATGCAAACTTGTTGCTGTGCAAAAGATTAACTTTATTTTCAAAATGGATTATGATGTTGCCTTCACTTCAGCATAAATGTTAGGCCACACATACAGAACATACTTTTGGATTTAGAAAAATAAAAAAGATTTGGTTATTTCCAATTAATCTGTAATTGATGGGCCACAAGGTGTAACTTTACTTTAACTTATTATCACTGAAATTTATGTTCCTGACTTAATAATGGCAAAACAAGTTACTTTGAACGATACACACTTCACTTGAATTCATGATTTAAAAACAGCCCCAAATCAACAGGGATGTTTAGCCAACAGTAACTAAGAATTGAAGCTAGCTAGTGCTACAGCAAGCTAATGTGGCGTAACATTATTAGGTTAAGCTAAAGTATGCTAGTTAGCCTTTTAGCCATATATATAATTTTACTTGCTAGTTAACTGCAACATAAATGTTAGATAACACAAACAGAAACTAATCTTAGATTTTTAAATTTTTTTGATTATTACTAATAATTTACAATTAACAGGTAAAAGCTATAACTTTACGATAACGTACAACTAAGTTTATTATCATTGTTTTAAAAACGTTCTGACATAGCAGTGACCAGAAAGGCCTACAGTGGTGAGGAATGCATCCTTCTAAAGTCCTACGTTCACCTTTTCACATATTACTAAAACAGTAAGTGCTATTTTTTGTAAAAAAAAATTAAAAGTAATGAATAATCTGCCTTATGACACTCATATAAACAGAAAAAAATAATTTAAAAAAATGAATAAAGTATTTATTATAGTGTTTGTATTTTCTTTGAAAAGAGCTTACCTTCTGTATGCTGCTCTGGCAAACAGTGATGGAATTAACCCAAACAAACTTTACAGACAGCAAATAGTTTCAATTTCAGATAATATTTTGTCAGTTCTTGTTTTTCCTGTAGGATCGATATACGCTGCTGCATCACTTTATTCCTACTTATTGTGATAGTTGGGGATGACTATAATTACTGAACAAAAATCTGAAGGAAGCATGTATTATTTTAATGAATTCTTTTTAACAAAGGGGAATAAATATTTGTTGCTTCAAAACACAACATCGCTACAACAGAAAGGATGTCATGAAGAAACTAAGTACAGATATATAGGAAATGATAGTGGGCAGATTCAGAATGGGGTCATGAGACAGAAAATCACAAGTCAGTAAAAAGTCGCACTTCTGTGACACACGGAGTTAATGAGGTTGTTGATGCTGCTTGTGGAATGTTGTCGCACTCTTTCCTGAAGGGCTCGGGGAAGCTGGTGGACATTTCGCAGTATGGAATCACGTCAGACGCGTCCATCCAGAGCATCGTGTGGCAGATTGTCAGTTTGTCTGATTTCTTAGATGAGGAATGGTGGAATTGTGGACATACCAGCATCTATTATGTTTCTCGTCTTTTTCTTGACCTCTGTAGTTTTCTGTCATTTGAATGAAGCTGCATACTAAGGAGGCCTTTCATAGGTCAAAGGAGTGTCTGTGCACTGGTGGTGCTATTGTTCTTTAAAGCCACACCTGACCAGGGTGCGGAATAACTCAGTTGGTTGAGAATTTGTCACCAGTGGAACAGCTTAACAACTCTTTGTGGACATTTGGATCAATTTAACCGTTTACAACAATAGAAATCAGGACTTATTCACCAAGTCAGAAAAGAAATTCATTTGTATACATGTTTATGTTTTTCATTAGTGTACTTTGCATAGGGAAAAAAGGTGGTTCACTTGATATAAGGTGGATATACTCATGTGTGTGCTCCTTCTTGTACTAATTCCAGCTCTGCTTTTTATAGGCCGAGGGAGCCTGCAAGTGCAATGGCTGGAAGAGTCAGAACCCCCCTCCTACACCGCCTCAAACTGACCAGCAGTCCAACACAGTCAACCTGCAGGAGCCCTGTCGGAGCTGCTCTCACACTCTGGGTAAAGAATCTACAGAAAGAAAAATATGCCAGAAAGTGTAGCATTAAAGATACCTAAAATCCATCCATTATCTATACACCGCTTAATCCTCATTAGGGTCGCGGGGGGCTGGAGTCTATCCCAGCCGACTTAGGGCGAAGGCAGGGGACACCCTGGACAGGTCACCAGTCTATCACAGGGCCACACTGAGAGACAGACAACCAAGCACACTCACATTCACACCTACGGACAATTTAGAATCACCAATTAACCTCAACATGTTTTTGGACTGTGTGGGAGGAAGCCGGAGAACCCAGAGAGAACCCACACTGCACGGGAAGAACATGCAAACTCCACGCAGAAAGATTCTGGTGTACCCACCGGGACGCTGCGAGGCAACAGTGCTACCAACTGCAGCCCGTACTTACAATGTGGATCTTATTATTTTTTTCTCTTCCAGGTGATCATGTGACCCATCTAGAAAACGTCTCAGAAGAGGAAATGAACAGACTTCTAGGCATCGTCCTGGATGTGGAGTACCTGTACACCTGCGTTCACAAAGAGGAGGATGCCGACACTAAACAAGTCTACTTTTCCCTCTTCAAAGTAATTTTCTGCTCTAAGACTTTAGACAAACACTGAATTTGCAACGCTGCATTTCACTCAAGTGAGCGTTCTCCCTTTTTGTTTACCCCTCAGCTGTTGAGGAAATCCATCCTGCAGATGGGTAAGCCGATGTTAGAAGCACAGGAGAGTCCGCCGTTTGAGAAACCCAGCATCGAGCAGGTGAATTAGATGTCTGGATTATGCATCAACTGCAGAACAAAAACAAACCAACTGCTCAAAATAATGTTGAGTAAGTCCCTATTTTTATTCGTTTCTTGTCATGTGTTTCCCAAATAGGGGGTGAACAACTTTGTCCAGTACAAATTCAGCCACTTACCATCTAAGGAACGTCAAACCATCATGGAGCTGGCGAAGATGTTTCTCAACCAGATCAACTACTGGCAGTTAGAAACGCCCTCCCAGAGACGACAAAGGGTTCCCAATGACGACGCAGCTGGATACAAAGCCAACTACACCAGGTGGAAAGACTCAGCAGATAGTCTGTAAAGCTTCTTGGGAAAAATGTACAGTGGAGCTGCAACAATTAATCGATTAGATTGTTTTAATAGTCAATTAATTGCTTTCCTTTAGTAAATTTAAAAAAGCTTGAATTCTCTGGTTCCAGATTCTTAAATGTGAAAATGTTCTAGTTTGTTTCTTCCTCTATGACTCAATACATCTGTGGGTTGTGGACAAAACAATACAACAAACCGATTAATCTACAGATTCATAACAATAATCATTATTTACAGCCCTAATCTTCAGTGCAGCTGTTTTCAAAGATATTTCTGCTGTGTGTTCATGACAGATGGCTCTGCTACTGCAATGTGCCTCAGTTCTGTGACAGTCTACCCCGGTACGAGACCACTCAGATCTTCGGCCGGACGCTGCTGCGCTCTGTCTTCACTGTGATGAGGAAACAACTGCTGGAGCAGGCCAGGCAGGAGAAGGACAAGCTTCCTCCAGAGAAACGCACACTCATTCTCACACACTTTCCCAAGTAAGATATACAAAAAAAAAACCTAACAAAGATCAGAGATTTTGAGATATAAATGATGGAACAAATGTAAGACTAACCTGCAATAAGCCACACAGTCCTTCATGTAGATAGACTCAGTAATATAGTGTGCACACCTTCGAAAGAAAATAGATACACATGCATATTAAGACTGCTCAGCTATAGCAAAAATCTGATTCACAATTGTTTTTGGTCAATAATGTAGATCACAAGTCTTTAATATGATTGGAGCTATTATGCATTTGGTAAACTTTTTTTTTTTTTTTTAAAGCTTGTCTTTTTTTCTTAACCTACGTTGCTCTATGCTTGCCATCGTCTTGCACTGCTCTAAAACAAAGAGGTGCACTTGATTTATAAGAAAAGACAAAGCAGGAGCATCTGTGCAAAACATCATGCAGCACAATAAATGTTTTGTCTCAGTTATCTTGTTTTTCCTAATTGTTAAAAGCTAAAATTGTAACTGAAAATACATTTTGAGTAATCACCCAGCCTTAAAGCATGTTGGACTACTGTTGTTAATATAGTGAAGTAGTCATTGTGTTTACTTTGCTCAGGTTCTTGTCTATGCTGGAGGAGGAGGTGTACAGTCACAGCTCTCCGATCTGGAGCCAAGATTTCTTGGCAGGAGCTGCAGGAGGGCAGATTCCTATCCACACAGGTAACACACACCCTCAGCGCCTTAACCAAAACGCACCTTTCACGTTGACGCCTAACTTTTGAACTTTTTAAAGACAATGTGAGAGCTGTCACTGATGAATATAATTGCAAAAATACATTTTTTTACTGTGTTGCTCTGCAGTGATCAGTGCTCCCCCTGTAGCCAGACCGCTGTACTACAGCACCAGTCCTGTGTCGGTGGATCCATCCACCTGCGGCAGCGTCAGTCCTGCCAGGAAAACAGCTTCTGTACTCGAGACAAACCCAGGTGTTACACACAAGCCTGTAATTACTTGTAAGGTTACAATAATACCAACTTGTTATGTAACATCTGACAGCAAACACTGAGCACTAAACTAAATTATAGCCTTGTGTTTCACATTTAAACCACGTTCTCATGTTTCTGTGGCGCTTTAATTTATTCTATCTGCCTGACTACTTTAAAACAAGATTTTTTTCTTGGAAATTCATATCGGAATATCCTAAATGTACCACTTTCCTTGCACTTATTTGAAGCCCAGAGTTGCTCTTAACATCCTGACAGAATGCATCATTGGTGACTGAATGAACTTCTTGTTTGGATTCAGACACACTGCTCAGCTGGTGAGAAGATGTAAAAGAGGCAGGTGATGAGCATCTCCCTCTGTGTCCATATGTTCTCATAGTTGGAGAAAAGCGTAAACCCTCGGAGCCCCTTCACCACGAGGAAAACAAGAGACCCAGGGTGGTGGGTGACATCCCCATGGACCTCATCAATGAAGTCATGGCAACCATCACTGACCCTGCTGCCATTCCAGAGGTAACCAGTTCTTCTTTATGTGTCTTATGTTTATGGTTTGCTGTTTTAATTGTACAGCGCTTAAGATATGCTTCATAAATACATCTGACTGAAGGTGGGTTCACATTAGCGTGGAATGAAAACGCTCATCATGTGAATGCTGACAGTCTGGACAGAAACTGTCTGAGAAATAACTGACTGACTTTTAGCTGGTTTAGAACAAAGTATTTTTATTGACGTCAAATCGTTTTTTTTAGCTCAGTAATTGGCAAAACCCAATGCTGCTTGTTAGTGATAATTTTGTACACCCAGAGTGTGTAAAATTCTGCTCCGTCAGTCACGTTGTACTTCCCTGGAGGCACTTTTCTTTTTCTGATCTTTTGCTGTTTAAAATTTGCATTTTTCAGTCAAGATCTTTAGTCACCGATGGGTTGTTGCTTGGAAATATTCATTTTCAAAATCATCGTTTCCACACCAAATGTTCAAGTTCTGGTCGTGCCGTTTTCTGTGCAACATTTGAATGTCTTTTCAGGTCATAGAAGGCTTTTAAACACAGGTTTATACACCGGAATAAGACATACATAATAGTAATGTAGTGTGGAATGATATTAAAGTTTTTTCTTCTTATGGGGGCAGCAGTGATTACAACAATTACTTTATACCTCCCTGCCTGTGCAGACCAGCCTGCTGTCAGCTCATTCTGCTCGTGACGAAGCCGCCCGCCTGGAGGAGCGCAGGGGGGTGATCGAGTTCCACGTCATTGGAAACTCTCTAAACCAGAAGCCCAACAAGAGGATCTTGATGTGGCTTGTCGGCCTTCAGAATGTGTTCTCCCACCAGCTTCCCCGCATGCCCAAGGAGTACATCACGCGGCTGGTCTTTGATCCGTGAGTCTGCGCTGCACCCCGTCCACACTCCTCGCGCCTACGAATGTGTCTGAGGCACATTCTGACTAAAGTTCCTCTTTTTTTCTTGGCAGGAAACACAAGACGCTGTCGCTGATCAAGGACGGCCGTGTGATCGGAGGGATCTGCTTCCGAATGTTTCCATCGCAAGGCTTTACAGAGATTGTCTTTTGTGCTGTCACCTCCAACGAACAGGTCAAGGTGAGGACGCTGCCTGCTTTATTTCTCAGCCTGGTGTGTGTTTGAGCACATCTGGGTGGCCAGTTTTAACTTTCCTGCCTGTGCGGTTACAGGGATACGGAACCCATCTGATGAATCATCTGAAGGAATATCACATAAAGCATGAAATCCTCAACTTCCTCACTTATGCTGATGAGTACGCCATTGGTTACTTCAAGAAACAGGTAACGTGTGTTGTCTGTCAAAACATCACATGAATTAAAATCCTTCTTCGACTTGTCTCTTGACTCTTGGCTCCATTAGAAAAACATATACTTCACATAATCTGCAAAAACAAAACACTTTGAAATCAGGAATTAACTCAGATGTCCTGGACTTGCTGTTTCCGACACTGAATACTTCTAAATTTGTTAAAAACGTCTACAAAACAAGTACAGTTGCTACCCCTTAGCATCTTTTGTACTGGTATTTTTGCTAATTTGGACACTTAATTTTTACGTGACACTGAATGTTTCATAATAAAAACAGGAAAAATATGAGATTAATGTTTTTTTGAGGCTTCATTTTTGTAGCGTTTCTAGGATCTTGTCTATGCAGCAGCAAAAAAACACTCATCTCCTCCTTCCTCTTAGGGTTTTTCAAAAGACATCAAGGTCCCAAAGGCCAAGTACGTGGGCTACATTAAGGATTATGAAGGAGCCACGCTGATGGGCTGCGAACTCAACCCCAGCATCCCCTACACAGAGTTCTCTGTGATCATCAAGAAGCAGAAGGAGGTATGCTGCTTAGTTTTAAAATGAATGTGTGATGTTCAAGTGCTTATTTTCTGTCTTTTAATCCACTTGTCTTCCACAGATTATCAAGAAACTGATAGAGAGGAAGCAGGCTCAGATTAGAAAAGTCTACCCAGGGCTGTCCTGTTTTAAGGACGGAGTCCGGCAGATTCCCATTGAGAGCATTCCTGGCATACGTACGTTGCTCATTATTGACTATCTCACTGTTCTCTAACAATACCTCACATTTCTATTTATCTTTTCATGCATGATTTTAATGTTAAATGTAATTTTCATTTTCATTCTGTCAACAGGTGAAACTGGCTGGAAGCCTGTGGGCAAAGGGTGAGTGTGACAACTTGCTTTGTGTTGCTTCACATATTGACTAGTGTATCCCTGAGCAGGTTTTCTAATTAAACATAACTTGGATTTCTTATGACAGCAGTTATACAACCCTATAGATCAAACTTGCATGAGCAGGACAGAACAAATCACTCGTCCTCGATATAACAGCTTCACAATTTTGATGTTTTCTGTTACTTGTGCTACTTCAGGAAGGAACTGAAGGATCCAGATCAACTGTACAGCACTCTGAAAACCATCCTCCAACATGTGAAGGTGAGGGATTAACACACACACACACACACACGCTGTCTATATTTTACACACATTTTTTCTTACCGGACTGCTCTGTGCAATCTTAGAGTCACCAGAACGCCTGGCCTTTCATGGAGCCTGTGAAGAAAACAGAGGCACCTGGGTACTACCAAGTCATTCGCTTCCCCATGGGTATGTATGTTCACAGTTATCTGAAGGAGATAAAAGAGTAGGAATGAATAATGAGATAATGAAGAATGAAAGACAAGTGAGATGGGAGGTGAGGTTCAAGGAGGCATGAGATTAAAACTTTGGGTTGCATCTTAGCACCTGTCACGACGTGCTGCACGGCTGTCTAAACAAACCAACACCCACAAAGGTGCGGCATTTATGCATCACACCGCTTGATAAAAGACTGCTGCATAGGACAAACCTGTGTTTCCTCACTCTAAACTCCTCCTGAAGCCTCCTCGTGTCCTTAACCCTGTTCAGGACTTTCAT